GTTCCAAAGTTAAAGAATGCACATGTGCAAGACATCAATAACAGCAGGCAGCATGAAGCAGAACAGGGCAAAAGAGAGCAAGAGAGCCAGAATGAGAGCTGCCTGTGTCTTTATTATATAATTCTTACACAGGTTGTTACCTCATGTTTACATTCTTACATGGTGTGGTAACCAGCACATACGTGTTTACCTGGGCTAAGTCAGTTACATAACTGTGTTCCACTATGCATCTGTGCTAGACAAGCAGGGTCATGTTCTTCAGGTGTCCTTAGGTGCCCCTAAGCTTTAAAATAGTCTGAGTGGTTCCCCACACCTTGGCATACTCCTTAAACTCTCTAAGCTTTATTTCGTTTTCATATTAAATACAAATGATAATTGCTAGTTCATATCAAATGATAATTCCTAGGATTATTGAGTTTTGCTAAAAAGAAAAAACAAGCATAAAGTGATGGGCATAGTACCTGTTGCATGAGGAAATTTAACTGAATCTTAAATTGTATCTTCATTATCCTGCATATTTCTCATCATTTGGCCCCATGGATGGTGAATTTGAACATCACTGTGCACCTCACAAAACACACAGCGCTTTTTAACACATACCACTTGGAGAGAATTTGTCCTCATTCTCCCACATCAGTTTGACTCTAATTGACATTTTATGTACTGCAGCTGTTCTTTGCTTTCAACACCTGCCAATATAAAAACTTCAAGTAAGCAAACTGAGACTTTATAAAGTTTCTTACATTACTACTAATAAAATTTAACATTTATTGACTGAGGCTAACTAGGTTCCAGGCACTATTTTGAGTGTTTTACATGCGTTACCTCATTCAATTCTCATAAGACTTCTATGAGGTAGGTGCTATATTGTGCTTGTTTTTACAGCTGAGTAAACTGAGGAACAGAGCAGTAAGTAGCTTGTCACAAGGTCTGCTGCTAGTAAGAGAGGAAGGAATTTTTGAGGCAGATAACCTGGCTCCAGAGGCTTCTAGCCCAGAGACTTGAAGGTAGTGATTAAGAGCTGGTACTGGGTTTCAACTACAATCACAAGAGATATCAAAGAGATTCAGCTACTTTATTGTATCACAAAATGCTAGGAGTTCACCAAAAATTTACTTGAGAAGTTTTGGTTAAAAAAAATCATAATTCTGGGCTGGGGATATAGCTCAGTGGCACAAGCACCTACCTGGCAAGCACAAGGTTCTGAGTTTGATTCCCAGTACCAAAAAAGATCATAACTGCTTTATAAATTCCTTCTATTGACATGAACCTGAAGTAATATGATACTTTTGCAAAAATGGGAAGCCAATGTTCCAGATCTGTTTGAATTCCATAAACAATTCATTCACTCAATATCACTGAGTACCATACTTATTTAAGCCTTATAAAGTGATAGTGATATACTGTATAGATAAAAGAGAGGAATTCTACAAGTAAGAAACTCACAGTCTAAGAGGAGAGAGAGATACATAAGAAAATAATCACAACTTAAAGCTTGATGTGGACAAAGTATTGTGGGCATGCAAGGGTAAAGACATTTTACTTAGTAAGAAAAAGGAACAACTTCCTTTTAGTATTCCAGAGGTGTCCTTCATGTAAGTTCTTATGAGCACATTTTTCATTAATTTAATAGTAATTGAGAGCTGAGCCTGATTGGGCAACCCCTCCCAAAACAGAACTTTCCTTTTCTCAGCTGCAAGAAAACCGAGATATTCTACACTTCTTCAAAGCCCCCGTCTCCTGCCATCCAACCCCCAGTCCTCTCAATGCCTCATTTTCTAGAATAATCAACATAGGAGGTCAAGTCACTCAAATCCTTCAAGAGACAGGCTGTTTACCATGTTATGAATTATTTCAATGTAATCTTGCCCAAGGGCTAGAAAAGGAGCACTGCAATTCAGTCTTCTCAGATGCTTGGTTTTATGACAATTCAAATTTACTGGATTTGGGTTAACAATGGTCAACATTATTCTCAGTTTCAGAGTTGGTTTTGTACAAAGGATGGAGAAGAAAATAACATTAAAAACTTTTTTAAAGCTCAACTCAAAAATGATCATAAAAATATGTAGGGGGAAAATGTCTTCATGTTAAGAGTAGTAAGAATAAAACTTTTGTAGTTTTGAAGAATAAGGAAAGAATAACATGGCACAAAATAAACTTTTTGAAGACAGGTTTTATGAGAGTTCAGGTAAATTGGTAATTATTTTGGAAAACTATTTGGTAGTATTGACCTAAGCTGATCATTTTCTGTGGTCTTGTGAGCCAGTAAATTCATTCCTAGATATACACTCTAAAAAAAACCCCAGAAACAGAAACATCGTAGCTTGCTCACTAAAAGATATGTCCAAGAATGTTCATTGAAGCTTTATTTGTAAAAGATGAATAAATTTATTTTGGAATATTTGCATAACAGAAACCTACACATGACTCAGTGATCTATAATTATATACAGCAACATGGGTGGACCTCACAAATATAATTTTGAATTGTATGAAGTCCAAAAATAATAAAAAGTTACTGCTGTACAGAATCAGAATAAAGGTTATCTTGAGTAAAAGGAGATGAATGGGTAGTGATAGATGGGCATTGGAGGGTACTTCTATAGCAGTGATGGCAAAACTTTTAGAGGCCACGTGCCAAAACGCAACCCAAAACCCACTTATCACAAAAGGCCTACACTGCAACTAAACTTGGAATAGTGAAGTTTAGGTTTAGAAAAAACAACTCTACGTTATCATCTTTTGTCTTAAGAGAAAAACACAATAACACACGTCATAGGTTCACCATCACTGTTCTAGGGTATTAGAAATGCTTTTCTAATCTAGGTATGAGTTCCATGAATCTATTGAATTTATAAAAATTTAACAAACAATGCCTTATAATACCAGCAATATATGTATTTTTGTTCATATATTTTGTTTCCATATTTTTAGTCTGTGATACTTACAATCCTAAGTCATAACCCTTTCCTCTACACTCTTTCTGTATGCTTTAAAAAAACTCGAGAAATTTGTATATATTTTATGCAGTTAATTTTACTACACGGATGACTTAACTTTTCTATCAGTTCTTTCAAAAGCTAAACAACTGCAATAGAATATTTCAAATTTGTTAGACCAATCATATTCTTTGATGTCATCATGAGCATTACCTTTGGGCTTTGGATATGTTTATCATGGTTTAAAACATTAGTCAAGACAAAAAAGAGCGCTGATAATGAGAAGTCACTGCTTTTGTGAAACCTGAACAGCTAAATTTTGAGGTTCCTGTACCTGCATGACTTCCATATAATGCTTTTCCAGGAAATTCTTTTGTGTCAACTTCAGAAACTGCAACTTTGGCTTGCTCACCAACTTAGAGTATGGGCTCTTATTCTTTGTATTAGGAGAAATCAGAACTAAATTACAGGTTTTATAGCCAGCATCTAAAATGGACTATGCTAATGCTTCAAATATGAAGACAGTTTTACTTTCAACAATGATTTTCTTCAAACGTAGGTTTTATACCCATTTTATTTTCTATCATACCTAAAACACAAGTTTACATAAACTAATTCTATTTTGGCTCCAGGCATGTAAACTGACATGATTCCTGAGCACTTATTCCAAGCGAAAATTTAGTGCAAAACTTTCACAGGTTCTTGGATCAATAACTTTACCACTTCTATAGCTTTTGAGAAAAGTATACAATGGAACATTCTAGATGTTTTCCAGATATATGATAAAAGACACAATTTTTGAAGAAAACTTCTAACAGTGAGCATCATACTAAATCAATTCAATCCAACCTCCTGTTATATAGTTTTTCAACGAGTTAAAAAAAAATATTTCTTTATGTCTTCAATTTAATTCACTTGCAAAGTGTTTTCCCAGACCATAGTGTGTCCTTGGCTGGGATACTGAAAAAACTGGAGCACTAACCTCCCAAAGGACCACTCTCAGTATGTACCTCATTCTTAGCATGCATATGTCTAGTAGCATTCATTAGACCCTTCCTACATCACTAATATTAACATGCCTTTCAACCCTTATACTAACCTAACCGTTTCTTTTTATTAACCACCTTTGGTAGTGGAGGCAACTAAGGCATAAAATTTATTTACCTACAGTCCCCACACTTGCAAGTCATAATTCCATCCCAGGCACTCTAAACTCTGCATCTGTTCACGATGCTATTCTGCATACTGACAGGAACTTGGGTACAAAGGCAATTATGAATCTTGTCCTTGTTGCAGTTAACTAATATTCCACTTCTGACTTCTAGACTGGAATGAAAATTGAGGTCCTGCCCTTAGTCTGCAGAATACTGGAAAATACTGTTTCTACTTATACAGACAGAGCACTCTCACTACCTTTCATAATACTAAAGAATGAGAGTTTTGGATTTTTCATCACCACCGAGGGACCTGGGATCAGCCTTCAGAACCAAATTCTGATGCTTTTTTATTTTTTCTTAATTTTTGTATTTTTCTTAATTTTTTATTTCTTAATTTTTTTTTTTTGAGAAATAGAAAATTTCATTTTTCTATTTCTCTTTGTGTCTTTTTGAGACAGGATCTCACTATGCAGCTCAGGTTGGCCTTGAACTCACTTTGTAGCCCAGGCTGGCCTTGAACTCATGGCGATCCTCCGGCCTCAGCCCCGAGTGCTGGGATTACAGCTGTGCACCACCATAGCTAGCAAAGAATCTTGTTAAGTCACCCAAACTGTATTCAAACTTGCAGTGCTAGGATTATAGGCACATGCCACCACACCCAGGTTTGATGCACTCTTGAAGTCTACTAGGTTTGGACTTGAGGCACCACCTTAGATATGACAGAAAAAGAATTGACAGGACATAGACTTCCAAAATAGCATAAACAAATCCTAAAATTTCAAGAGTTTTATATTCACAACAGAGTCAAAACATATCAAATTGTAAATTAAGATGTTTTCTGTTCCACACACAAACATAAAATCTATTTCCAGGACTTTCAATATCATTAGAAGAGCCAGACACTGTGTATTCTCTAAATTTATTTACAATTAATAAGTTAAAAAACAAAGTACAACTAAATTGTAAATCTTAATTATATGCACATAGACTGTCCAGGAAAACACTTCAGTTCCATTACAAACAACTGCTTTCTAATGCACTTAAGACAAAACAGTTTATCGAAAAAAATTTTAAAATCATGAATAAATGTTAGGTATGTATGTCCATTAAAAATCACCAATTTAAAGAGAACTGTGGCAACCCTTAAAACAACAAAAAAACTTGAGTTCAAAATTGTTGTAGTTTTGGATTCAAATATTTTTTATTGAAGAGTTTTCTGAAAAATAGTATTATCATTTGCACATAGCCAACCAAAAGTACCAGCCACCAACTTAAGTTACACTTGTCCAATAGGGATACTCAAACTTAGACAAAATAAATACACATCACAACAGCAACACTTTGCACCATCAACAATGAAGCTTGCCCTCAACAATCATGTCACTGGTTTTTATAACACAAAAATGAGTTGCTGGTTGTCAGAGAGGGTAAAAAGGACACTGGGAATCTCAAAAGGTTATCTGAGTTGTCACTCACCACGTTTAGGCATTCAAGTCAAAAATTAAATAAAAGAATACCAAGGTGATAAATTTCCTCCCAGCTTCCCACTCTACATGTGCCATATGAAATGTAAGAGAAGGCAAGAGAACAAATAAAGGTCATGAGACTTCTTTAAAAAGCTATACACAAGCTAAACTACAGACTTTTAGAGGACAGTAAGTAGATGCCTCATTATGAAGGCCACTATGCCAAGTTTCTTTTCACATTTGGCCCGAAGATACTCATAAAATACTTTTACTTGCCTATTAATATACTAATCCACTATGCTTCTTCACATTTTAGACGTTGTGACATAGGTTTTGCTAAAGAAAACTTGGCAAAAATAAAGATATTTTTACATCTTCACAAACTAGAAATGGCATAATTTTTAATAGTCCATGAACCACATAGAACTTAGGATGGGCAATCAGATTCAACGTGTAATCCGATAGCCCACAGAAGCTAAAGAAGCATTTATGTAAGTTCAAGTGCACCAAAGTAACAAGGCATAAGAGAACAAAATGTCAAGAACGTCACCTAAAATAAATGCATGACGTCACTGGTTGTTTTCAGTTGTGTTCTGAGGAGTTTTTCTCTCAGCTAAAACTATTTCAAAATCCTTTGCAGAACTATCTAGATAAGCTATATGTTGAAATTACATTCTACTATGGCCATTGGATTTGTTTTTTAATTATTATAAAACTATATACAATAGTGAAGTGGTACAAATACATTTTTTCAGATGCTAGTTAGCTATAAAAGTTAACAATATATTTTTGGGAAGAAAAGCCTTTGTTTCTGAATTACAATTGGTAATGGAAGCTAATAACCGAGAGTATATCTCCGCTTCCTATTACACAACTATAATTTAATACTCTCCATGTCCTAAGTAATTATTCTTTTTCTTACTCATTGACAGTGTTTGTAGCAATGTATTACCATTGAGTAGTAAATAAGACTCTGAGGCTTATTAGGAAACTGGCATAAAGTCAAATATATACGAATATATATCAGATTTTTACAAAACAAGAACACTGAAATTAGTCACAACACTGCTACTATGGACTATTAAACTTAAAATAATCATTTTAGAAAGCTATGCCATTTGAATTCTAGGAACACAAAAGTCAAAATTGCAACTCATCATTCTCCTAAGCAGCTGCCAAGGAGAGATAATCCTTAGTATGGAGGATTTCACATGTCAAGTTCCAGCCCAGCATGGATGGTTCCATGGCAGAATACTTAAATTTGAAATAACAGTGATACAAAAACACTTAACCCTTTAGGTATTGCAATAAAAGCTGGCTGTGGCACCACTGGCTAAAATCCGTTAAGTCTTGCTGCCACCAACAACCAAGGCACTTGGATAATCAGCTCCATACTGGGCCATATGCTATATACATACGTCTAAAAGTGTACAAAAAGGGTCAGTACTCTGTGTGGCTGGCCTGTGTGATTCCTGCGGCCTTCACCTGTCAAACAAAGACTGCAAACGTATTTACGAAAGATTAAAAAAGAAAATTCACACGACAAAAACTGTCAAGATGTTTATAAAGGCAATGAATATTAACTAGCCCAGGCATTTCTTGTTATCCAAAAACAAAAACAAAGAAATAAAAGAGATCCACTTTGCCCAAAATAACTTTAACCTGTTATTTGATACCAAGAAATGCCCCTACCCCCATAGATCATTACGTAACAGTTCCGGGAATTCTAATGGGTATTCTGTTTACCATCTTATTCACACTGTTGACACACATTGACCTCTCCTATATAACTTCCATTTTAAAATAAATTATCCTCCCTTAGCATCGCTGGATTTGTAGGTTAGACCAGGACATGAGGCCAAAGTACCTCCAAATTGGATTCCAGGCATTCCTGTAACCAATACCAGTTCTTCACAATTTACTCATTTTTTAAAATCACAAGCCGTGTGGTTTCAATGCACTTCAATTTTTATTCAATTAAAAAGAATTTAACAAGTCAACTTTTCCTAAACAAAACTTTATGTGAGCGTTCTACCATTTTCTTTTGGAGCTCAGTAAATAGAACACTAATTTTCAAAATAAAAATCTCCGGAACACTTTCTAAATATTTCAACAGTTGCACTTTGCATCTCTTTGTAATCGCTGAGCCCATGAAACTCAAAAAACGTACAGATCCTTGCATTACTAACAGTCATAAGCTTGAACCTCTTAAAAAACATCCTCGGTCAAAGCTTTGGAATCCAGTAAAAATTAGGAAAGCGGGTCGGATTCAGAATACCCTGAGCACAGACTAGTGCAACACCACAAAACATGTTCGATCTTCCGTCCGGAAAGAGGGGTGGCAGTGCGGCAGGGGGAGGGGAAGGGGGTAAAGAGCAAGCGAATCCTGGCTTTATTACACAAGCACGGAAAAAATTCCTTTGGAAAAGAACGACTTCTTCGGAGGACTTCCAGACCAGTGAGGTAGAGTCCAAAGGGAGAAACGGATCTGACCCCTAAGTCCTGGAGACGCGTCCAAGCGGGGATCGGAGGCGAGGGGCGCCCCGCGCGGGTCCAGCCGTGTCCTGGTCCGCGGCGTGCGGGGCGCGCGGAGAGCGCACCTGTCCCGCAGGCGGCCGCGTCCCGGGGCGCGGGCCAAGCGCCGGGAACTCCTCCGCGCGTAAAGTGCACTGGGGGACGCGGTCCCGGCCGGTTCTGTAAACACTCGACTGACACTTGTCCCTTCGGCGGCCGAAGCTCCGCCCAG